CTAACCGCTATATATATATATATATATATATATATATATATATATATATATATATATATATATATATATATATATATAATGAATTATACAGTTATCATATATTCACGGGTTATTTTACAGTTTAAGTATTTGGCTTGGCGGCTATTTAGGTTAATTCTTCTAAATGAGCCAAATAATGGTTTTTTTTTTTAAAACTTTTGAGGATGCAATGTGTAACACAAATGTCAAGATTAAAGGACTTTAATTAAAAAAACTACATTTAAATAGAATAAAATAGATTTCGAAGATTCGTATAACAACAGATTCTATTAGTAGTTTAAATTGAGATATTAAACTACATTTAATTACGATTTGAGTTCTGTGAATAATTTTTTATTATTATAAAGAACGTTTTTTTTTTCTTATAGAGTGTAACTCACAATTTTCAAGCCAAAAAATAAAAATAAAAATGGGGGTCATCTCTTGAAAATGCAAGTCAAAAAATCAAGATCCATTATTAACGAGTGTGGTAAGATGGGTAGGATCTTTCATCATAGTTAGAAATCTCGATTTGAGTTATATGAATATTTCTTTTTTGATAAAGAACGTTTTTTCTTATGCAACACGAATTTATAGTAGTCAGTGTCGCAAAGCTTACCGAGGTAGTCGAGGTTATCGAGGACATGACTTTTGATAGAATGGTATGGAGATCGAGAATTAGGATAGAAGGTTAGTAGGTTGTCGAGCGTTTTTTCTTTCCATACTTGTCTTTTTAATATTATTCTCGCATTTCCTTATTCTTAGATTGTCTATTATTATCTGATGTTACTTCTGCCTCGATTTTATGATTATCTTGCTGTTATTACTGCTTCTTTTTCCTTAACTTCTTCACTACTGTATTTCCTTTTCTAACTGATTTATTTATCTTGCGTACTTTTCTTTCTTTCACATACAAACGGGTTTGCTCCTATCAGAGATCATAATTATTTCATACTAGGCTTTGGGAGAAAAAAGAAACAAAACAAAAAGAAGCAAATTTTAAAAATCAAGAAATGAGGTTACATTAAATTTGTCATGGCAAAGCTTTTGAATATTATTGGTGGCAATTTTCTTCACAACTTTGTTTTGGTATCCAACATTCATCTGATATTCCGAAACAACACCAGCAAACTGGTGCATCTACACATTTTCTCTTCAAGCAGAAATCAAGATTTATCTTCTCTCCAAGGACTTTGCGACTTGTATCCACGGGGGGCGCCATCGTCTTTGTCACGGGATCGGCAGAACTCAATAACTTTGATCCAAACCCTATATTCATATTAAAAAATTTAATGTGTAAATAATCTGTTCAGAACCAATAAACTAAAAAGCATGTTTATATCCAAATCAACCCTTTGGACTAATGCCCTTTCATTGCCTTTTCACATGGGAAACGAGAGATTAAAAGAATTATAATATATTAAGAGTCTTTATATGCAAATTATTAATGTCATTAATTGTGCTAGATTAAGGTAAAATTTGAAGAACTTGATTTAAGTAAAAGTTTTACCTTATATATGCACACTTCTTTTCTTTATTTTTATTTTCCCTAAAAAATCGGGAAGAAAATTTATGCACATATTGTTTAAGAGTTAAAAGAAGTTATTTACATTAAATTTACATATATCAAAATCAGACTTTACCAAAGAAAATTAAATGAGTTTTTCCACTCAATGTTAAAGGGATAGGAGAATTGGACTAATATAACCATAGGTAACTTTGTGTATTCCATTATAATTTGTGATGAGCTTATGTTTTACTCCGTAATACTAATTTTTCTCGTGGTTTACGATATTACTTTTACCTTTTTTGTTTTAATATTTTTATAATAATTTCTTAAATCTATTTATTATTAATTTTAAAAATTTTGATATGACTAATTTAATTTTTCTTTAGCTTTGTATATTTAATTTTCTTTGCATAGCTTTAGTTAAATCTTTTGGTTAATCTCACTTAAAACTATTGTGTGGTCTAAATTAATTAAACTATTTAACAATTTTATTTTTAGCATTATGCAGAAACGATCTGCATTTGAGAAATATCTCCTGTATTTTGTTTGCCGATATTCCATACTCTCTTCGTGTCCATAATAAGTGATTTTTTTGCCTTTTTCTTTTGGTCCAAAATAAGTGTCCTGTTATATAATTAAGAAAAAATTAATTTTATTTTTCAAAAATTTGCCCTTATTTACATATCTCAATGTGTCAAGTTAACAATACGCAAATTTTAATTAAGGATAATTTAGTGAATACATAATCTTTTCTCTCGGAGTTCGTATCATCTAAGGATGTGCCAAAGGCCAAAAGTCACTTATTATAGACCGGAGGGAGGGTATGTTTATTTTTACTAATCTCTAATGAAAATGACCATAGACCAAATCTCCCTCAAATATTTATTCAAAAAGAATAATTAATTAACCTAATAGCCACTCACCCAACCACTTAAATTAAAAATAGCCATACGTGTGGGGGGACGGGGGGG